GAGTTTGTGATCTCAAAGTCCACCTGGCTCGAGGACCACAGAATTCCAGAGTCACAGAATCCCAGAATGTGCTGGGCTGGAAGGGATCCACAAGGATCACGGAGTGCAACCCTCAGCCCTGCACAGGCCCAGCCCCAAGAGTCACCCCCTGTGCCCCAGAGGATCAACCAAACCCTCCCTGAGCTCTGGCAGCCTTGGGGCTGTGCCCACTGCCCTGGGGAGCCTGGGCAGTGCCCAACCAGCCTCTGGGGGAAGAACCTTTGGCTGAGATCCAACCTGAGCCTGCCCTGACACAGCTCCAGCCATTCCCTGGCTGTTGTCCCTGGTCCCCCCAGAGCAGAGCTCAGTCCCTGCCCCTCCTCTGCCCCTGCCCAGGAAGGTGGAACTGCACTGAGGTCTCCCCTCAGTCTCCTCTGCTCCAGCTGAACACACCAAGTGCCCTCAGTGTCCTCCCACAGCTTCAAATCAAGGCCCTTCCCCATCCTCGTGGCCTCCTTTGGACACTCTCTAATGGCTTCAGATCTTCCTTTTATTGTGGTGCCCAAAACTGCCCTGGCACATCTGCACCCCCAGAGCTGCCCTGGGACACCTTGACTGTGTCAGCACAGCACAAGTCCAGCCGCTCTGTTGAGTCCAGGGATATTTTTGGGTCCCATCTCGTGTTTTGGCAGTGTGGGAAGGGTCAGTTTGCATCTGCCTGGTGCGTGTTCGACACATGGCCTGACGTGCACTAGGTCTGAGAGCAAAACAGTGGTGTTATCTCATAATTCAGACATTATTCTGCCCCAAACCTGAAATCTCAGATACACAGGCTTAGGGACATGGTTTAGTGGTGGAATTGATGTTGGGACAATGGTTGAACTCAGTGATCTTTTCCAGACTAAATGATTCTCTGATTCTCTGAAGCTTTTGGGTTTGCAGACCCGATTTTCAGAAGCACCAGGCAAAATCCTGCTCTCCTGCTGCTGTCCCAGTCTCCACTTGGAGCCCTCAGCAGCCCAAGATGACCTTTTCCAGATGGCTTACCTGGGAAACTGGTGTCTGAGTGCTCTCCTGGCTGAAACCTTCCCTCCAGAGGAGCCAGTCCCACCACTTGTTGAGCAGAGCATTTTTATCAGTGGCTTTAAAAGATCTTGCAGGTCACCAGAGAGGCCCTGCTCCAATTCCTGCAGGGTCTCAGCCTGGCATCACCCAAAAAAGGTTGGCAGGCTCCTCTCAAATCCCAGGACCACCTTGGGATTCAAGAGAGGAGCCTCCCACTCTTTTTTTAAAAGCAGAACTGATATTAAATGAAATTATCATAAGGGCTATTTCAGCATTTAACTCTTTGGAGAAGCAAGTCCTTCCCAGAGGGGCATCTCCCACTAGAGGAAAGAATTCCAGGTAGGACACAGAAGTATCTGGAAATGGTGCTCTGCAGGCAAGGCAGCTGTCCATCAGCTATAAATTTGGAACATTTGGATTAAGGAGACTGAAGGAATTGGTTGGGACTCTGCTTTCATTCCCAACAGGAAATTTAAATCAAGGAGGAGTCAGGAAGCTACAGGCCCACTTTCCTTTCCAGGTGTGTCCAGGGACAACATCCTCCTTCTGCTGGGGACAACTGCTGGGTTCCATCCAGGTGCTCTCCATAGGATCCAAACATCCCTGTACAAGGAGAGGTTTCCATTCAGCTCTCGGGGAGTCTGAGGCTCAGCACTGGGCACAGTTGGTTTCTGTTTCAGTGCTCCCGGTGTATTCCGAGCTTCAGAAGCTGCACCATTGATTTCCACTAATTATAAATCCTATAGAAAGTTCTCAGCTTGCAACAGTCACGGTTTGGCTCTCAGTGGAGTCAATAAAAGTTAAGAGTTGCTCCCTGGTTGCTGTCATTACAACAATAAACCCCAGAGTAATTGAAAAGTGAATCAGGGAAATTGCCGGATTGGAGAGCAGTGAAAATAGAAGGAATTACCAGGGAGCCCAAGCAGAGCCTTGTCCCTGCCTGCACCAAGCTGGAGTCTATTCTGGACAAACTGATAAGTGTGTCATGGTGGACATGTCTTGAGCAAGGGGCAAAACAGGAGCAGTGACCACGTGCCTGCCAAGAGGACAGAAATTCAGTGCATGAGCCAACAAGGGTGATTTTGAATCCCTGCCGAGATTGTTCCGCTTCCTAAAAGGCAAAAATGACAACAAAATGATAAAAAAAATCATGTCTCCCTATATTAGAATAAAACTCAAAAGCAAGAACTGGAGATGCAGCAACAAGAGGACAATTATGTCCTACTAGATAGGTCAGCTGGTACAGGAAGACCCAAACCCCCCAAGTCATTACTGTTTGCACATCGTTAAGATTAGGTGATAACCAGGGTTTTGTTTGGAAGCCAGGCAGCTGGAAGAAAAGCAAAGTTGGAGGAGAGAAGACTCTTCTTAGTGACAGTGCTGGTAGAGAGGGAGACCTGCAAAGGCTTGGACAGGCTGAGAAAACTGGGACTGTTCAACCTGGAGAAGTGAAGGTTGTGTGGAGACCTCAGGGTCTGAAGGGGTAACAAGGAACCTGGAGAGGGGCTGTTCATCAGGAATGGGGGAGTCAGCACAAGGGGAATGGGTTCACACTGACAGGGGGGAAATTTAGGTTGGAGGTACAGAAGAAATTGTTCCCTGTTCAGGTGGGGAGGCCCTGGCACAGGTTGCCCAGAGAAGCTGTGGCTGCCCCTGGATCCCTGGAAGTGTCCAAGGCCAGGTGGGAGCAATCTGGGCTAGTGGAAGGTGTCCCTGCCCATGGCAGGGGGTAGAACCAGATGAGCTTTAAGATCCCTCCCAAACCATTCTCTGATTTTATGATTCCATGATTCTAAGACTCAGGAAAGGAAAAATAGGTGTCGACATCGGCAATGGTGTGTCCCAAGGTGAGTTTGGACACCTGTAGCTCTGGAGACAGACATGAAGGAGCACAGGGATGATCCAGAGATGATGTTCTTTCAACACAGTCATCCTGGGACATAATGAGGCAGATCCTGAAGCAATCAGTTGGCTTTCTGCAAGGTCAGGAAAGCCCATGTAAAGTCTGTGAGCATTTCCAGTAAGTCAGAGTCTCACACGTCCCTGCAGATATCCTCAAAAAAGGGTGCAAGTAAAGAGAAGGTCTCAGAGACACTGCTCTGGGCTGTGGAACACCCACAGGTGTGAGCATCCACCTGGTGATGGGTGAACACAGGTTTTGAACAGCTTCTGGAACCACTGTTCCTTTGGGACAGCTTCTGGAAAGACCCTGGAAGTGTCCATGGCCAGGTTGGATGGGTTCTGAGCAACCTGGGCTAGTGGAAGGTGTCCCTGCCCACAGCAGGGGTGGAACTGGATGAGCTTTAAGATCCTTTCCAACTCAGACCATCCTGTGATTGCATGATTCCCTGAAGGCAGAAAAACCAAGCCCATAAACTCCAACAGAAGAACTCTGTCAGAGAACTGTCCCTGAGCCAAGAACAAACTCAGTATAGGTTGAAAATGACCCCACCATGTGATGGAATGGGGTAACCACGTGCTGACAGGCTGCTCCTCCTCAGATGGAGTGACCACTAGGGTGAAATTAAGGCTTTGCCATATGGGTGGACTCGGGAAGAGTTTTCAGGTTGAAGTTTCCCAGGACAAAGACCCCAAAGGAATGAAGGATTGGGGTGTTAGGGGAGAAAACCTTGCTTTTACCAGCAACCAGCACTGCAGGAAGGCACCCAGGAGGGCTGCAAACCCCGGGCAGCTCTGCAGACCTCCACTAACACACTTCCCACCCTGCTGGGAGGTTCCCATCAGTGAGCCCCCATTCCCACCCCTCTGGTTGCCAAGAGAAACGCCATTTGGAATCCCACAGGTTGTCAAATCCGCAGCTGCTCGGCTTGCCTTGCTCTCCTAACATGAAAGACAGAGGCTGGAGGGTGAGATTTCCTTGTGCACAGCAAAGCAGGATGGAAATTTGGGACTAAATGCCAGGGGGATTTGCAATCCAACTTTGAAGTGTACAACGAGGAGCCACTGGTGACAATAGTGTGCTGGCTATTTTTAGCTCTGAATCCCTGAGGAACAAGGACAGCAGCAAAAACACCAATCCCACCAGACTTGCTTTGCAGAGAAATGCTTTTCATCTGGGCCAAAGGCAGGACTGTCCACTTCTCTGCACCAGGTTTGGGCTTGTGGCAGGAAAGAAGGGAACAGAATTGTAGGGATCGGTGCTTCTAAGGACAGCTGGGGAAATAGGGATGAGTGTGTGCAAATCTGCCTGTACACACACAGTTGTGGCTGAACGTTTCAGGGTCCAGATTTAATAAAATTTTTTCTCTTAGTTTTCCCTTGAGGATTAATGATTTTGGATCTGCGTGATGAGATGTGCAGCAGTGCTCAGGGAAGACAATGTCAGAGCAGCTCGGAAGTGATAAGAATACTAAGATGGGTTGAGTTGGAAGGGACTTTAAAGCTCATCTTGTTCCAACCCCCTGCCATGGGCAGGGACACCTTCCACCAGCCCAGGTTGCTCCAAGCCCCGTCCAACCTGGCCTTGGACACTCCAGGGATCCAGGGGCAGCCACAGCTTCTCTGGGCAACCTGTGCCAGGGCCTCCCCACCCTCACAGGGAAGGACTTCCCAATATCCCACGAAACCCTGCCCTCTGGCAGTGGGAAGCCCTTGTCCTATCACTACATGCCGTGTCCTGTCCCGTTTGCTCTGTCCTCATCATGCTGAGGGAAAGGAGGGGGAATTTCTCCCTGCACCACCCACTCCCAGTTGGCATCACCTTTCCTCCACTACAACATTACCCTGGGGGTGTTTGGCCTTTCTGGGCTTTCTTGGAGGTGGGTGGTTCAGATGAGGCTGGACAATCCCTGGTTCTCACTGTTTGCTGAGGGTGAGCCCATTTTGGGCTGTAAGGCCTGAGTTGAAGGTGCTGGGCAGAGGAGGATCATCTCCAGCACTGGGAGCTCATGGCTTGGAGCATTTCCTGACTGCTCTGAGGGCTCAGGGATGCTCATCCCTTGCCCTGGCACAGCAGCCAGGGTGAGTGCCCTCTCTGCTGTACCCTTAGCAGGTGTTAATAGCACAAACAGGCACATGTGCAAAGTTCTGCTGCTGCAAAATGTCCTTTCCTACGTATTCTTCAGGAATCGTGGGTTTAACATTTGCTTTGTGTGAGAACATTTACCCACTGGATCTACAGCACAGGTCAGCTCAGAGGGAAATGTTCTCTGCTTGTTCTTGCCACACAGACACAACTGGAGAGTTAGGAAGTAAAAAAAAAGGGGTCAGAAACAAGGCAGTGACTCGTGGCAAAGTGCAAGAGCTACAGGGGGGATCCCTCAGGGGTTTGTCTCTGTTGGGGTGGCCAAGATGATACTGAATTGCTGCCTCTCCAACCTGGAAGACCCTCCCTGACACAGGGCTGTGTCTCTCTGCTCCTCCACCAGCACTAAGGAGCTCCAGCAACATCCATTTGCAGCTTTAGAGTAAAAGGAACCCGAAAGAGCAACATTTGCAAAGTTGAAATGGGGGTGGTAAAACACGAGAAGGGAACTGTGGCACTGCCCTGGTGCCCTCATTCCTCTGGGTGCTGTGTCTCTAACTGGGTCTAACTGGGTGCTCTCCCCACAGTTTGACATGCAGAGGATAACGCTGGAGGAGCTGAAGCACATCCTGTACCACGCCTTCCGCGACCACCTCACGATGAAGGACATCGAGAACATCATCATCAACGAGGAGGAGAGTCTCAATGAGAACTCTGGCAACTGCCAAACAGAGTTTGAAGGTGAGGGAGGAACTTTCTGGGTTTCTAAACAATTATCCTCTTCCTGATTTGACTGTAAAACCCACTCTGTGCCGTGACATGCCATGGGCAGGGAGGTGTGATGTTAGTGGGGAGTTATTTTAGAGAAGCAATGACACACTTGGGGACCTGCAGAGCTGCCATCAGCCTTCCTCCATGGATCAGTAAAGCTGAGCCTGGTTCAGGCAGGAGGAGGAACTACTGGGTGCTTTGCCTTATGGCAAAATGGGATGGGGTTCAGCCAAAGGGATGTGCAGCCCATGCTGAGGTGAGTGTCTAAGACAGACTGAATTTCCCTACAGAAACTTCCATATTTCCCTCAGGTTGTCATGGAAAGACTTCACTGGCCCTGGCAGGCCCTACCAAGGTGTGTTAGGCTCTTCCAGCTTTCTGTTGTCTTTCCATAAACAGAAAAAGGTCTGTTCTGGGCTCCCAGGGAACAGCTGAGATGAGTCCTGTCCCTGCACTGGAACACCAGCAAGGAGCAAGGGTGGTGCCTCTGTACCCATGGCCTGGGGCACCTCTTGTTCTGAGCTGCAGGTTCAACCAGGACAGCTCATCTCAGCACCTGCGAGTGTCTGCAAAGTCAAGGGCTAAGCAGAGCTCAGAGGGAGTCAGAGAAAGGGAAACATTTGCTTCCTCTCATCAGTGTGAGAAGACCACCAAGTGCTCCCCAGCTCAGCCTCTGCAGTGGGGTTTGCACTTTGACAGAGCTGACACTGGCAAGAACATTCCCTCTTTTAAGGCATCTCAGGAGAAGGATTTTCTTGGCCAGAGGAGCTTGTGCTGCTCCAAAGCATTGCTGGCTGGAATAACTGGAGCTGTCCAGAGAAGCTGTGGCTGCCCCAGCCCTGGAAGTGTCCAAGGCCAGGTTGGAGCAACCTGGGCTAGTGGAAGGTGTCCCTGCCCAGGGCAGGGCCTGAAACAAGATGATCTTTAAGTTCCCTTCCAACCCAAACTATTCTTTGACTCTCTGAAATCAAGTGCAGAAGAGTCCAAGGAAATACCCCCAGAGAACCTGCAGGGTTGAGCACAACCCCCTGGGACAGCCACTGTGCTTTGCCACCCACAGCACTGCCACTTTCTGTGGGCCATCTGGGGGGAAATTCTGATACTCTGAGGGGTCAGACAAGCTTCTGAAAGGGCACCAGACCAAGACAATGAAGCATCTTTCAAACAAAGCAAAGCTGAACCTATTAGTGCAATTCTTAGCCTGGCTAATGAATGGCATTCAGCAGCTCTATCCAGCACACTGAATACTGCAGGAGAGATGGAGAAGAGCACAGCTGAATTTTAAAAAGCCTGCAGGAGAGAGGAAAGCAGCAACACTCTCTGAATCAAACCAAGCACCATTTTTTTTGTTCCTCCTGGAGAGCAGCAGGGAGGAAGAGATGCTGCTTATTGAATGGAGCTGTCAGTCCCCACTGACCTGCTGATTCACTGGAGGCACGAGCCAGTTCAGGCTCATTTCAGTTCTGGGGCTTGGGTGAACCATCCCAATCACCAGGAAAAAAAATTGGGTCCAAATACCTAAATGCTCAGCAGCTCGTTTTGGAAGTCCCAGCTTCCAAAAGTACAGCAGGAACAGCTTTTCTCGTGGGATGTTGGCATTGCTGGTGCCAGGCAGAACCTGGAAGCAAAACAGCCCCTTTTTTAGATGTTAAAAATACACACACACAAATCCAGCAGGGAATACAGATCAACTTGACCCTGTCAACAGCAGTGCAAAGTTTTGCTTCAGGTCCCAGAAGAAGGGACAGTTCTGGTCCGTGGCAGCTCTGACAGGAGCATTTCTCCCAGGAAAAGGCAGGCTGGGAGCAGGTTGTGTCCCTGCTGCTCTCCAGGTTGGACATACCATTACCTGAATGACCCAGTTCTGCTCTCAGAGTTCCCAATTCCCAAACACCAAGATCCCTACAGGGCTGAAAAGCAGAGCTTTGAGGGTCTCCTGGGTCAGTGACACCGCGGGAGAGCTGTCTCCATGTGAATCACTCACGTGTGGAGCAAGGGAGATGCTTTTTGGGTATAATTCCTGGAGTTTATTTTAGGTGCCACCTTGGGACGAGATGAATTGCACCTTAAAAAGCAATTCAACCCTTCAAATAGCAATTCAACTGTTCCTCTCAGCCCACAGAACCTCCCACCTCTATTTAATGGACATTTCATCCACCTCATTGAAGAGTCTTTGATAGGAATGAGGCCAAGATGAGCCCTGATGGTTTTTAGTGGGATTTGGGAATGGCTTAGAAAGGAAGAGACGTAGCAGATACTTCCAGTAGTACCTTGAAAGGGGGGATCTCCACTCACTCTCACCTCTGGGTGTGTTCTTGCCTTCAAAAGAGCAGCCCCCACACCTCCTCCCTGCTGTGGGCACAGACATCCCCCCTTCTCCACAGCCCTGCCAGGTGCTAAAGGGTCTTGCACAGGTAATAGAACCATCAGTACAAATATATTCCAATTTCTGCCATTCTCACAGATTTGCCCTCTTGGCTGCTTGTCAGGATAAGGTCTTTATGTGATATTTATGATTATGTAATATTCCTTCTATATTGACATAGATTATAGATCTCATACCTCTCACCCACACCCCCTTTCCCCCCCATACCATATTTGTATTATAGCCAGGGACAAGTCCAGGATTTTATTCAGTTCATTTTGAACATTAAAGTCACTTGTAAGACATCAAATCTAGGGAAAGACTACACCAGAACAGAGGCACAGTTATGTCTTCAGCCTTTATTTCTGTTTTTATTAATGCTTAGGGCAGGACAACAAAGATTAGATGTTTTTATGAGACACGAGAAAAGAACAACTGTTTGCAGCAACCTTGTGCTGCCAAAAATTTATAGCCCAAACCCCATTTGTCTGGCAGTTCCCTTTATCCAAACACTCAGGACATTAAGCTGGTGGCAGACAAGGGTTTGGGGTGGTTGTGGTGACCTGAGCTGTCTGTCACAGGTATTTTATCCTCAGCCCTGACACTCCAATCAGCTGGATGTGCCAGAGCCCCCTCCCTGCTCAGCTGAGGGCTTGGGAATGAAAAACTGGCCTCTTAAAACAAAAATAACTCCAGCCAGGCAGAGAAAGCCACAATCCCTCACCCCTGGCAGGGTGGTGACAGAGACACCATAAATACACTGCAGCTGTCCCTGGGAGCAGGGCTTTGGGGCAGGGGAGGAGGCTCTCAGGGCTCCCCTGGCCACCCCAAACCCACCGTGGGCATCACGACCAGCCCAGAGCCACAGCCAGGGGGGCCTCGAACGGTCTGGCCCCATCAACCCCGTGTCCTGGGGGAGAAGTTACAGTGACAATGGCTCTGTCTCTGCCCTTAATGACACCAGGGCGAGGTCTCCTCACTCCCTGGGTGCTGAGGAGGTGCAGGATGACCCAGCCTTGATTTGCCTTTGCTTCTTGAGCTCTCAGTGATGTTGGACAGCCCGGGGGTTGCACCTCACCCTGAGAAGTTTGAGGATCTCTCCAGAGGAGCTCCAGGTTCTGACCATGGACAAGGAACCAGCTCCCATGGGTGGTGTCAGAAACTCCCACTGGCAACCAAATGCCAAAGGGATGGAGCATCCAGCCCTGAGCCAGTGGAATCAGCAGGAACAGCACAGATGCCAAGCTCAAGGGATCTGTGGATTTGGAGAAGGGACAGAACTGAGGGCAAACCATCACCAGTAAGCAGGGGGGGCTGATGGGTGCTCATGTTTAAGAGGGCAGTTCACAGGTAACTGCTCCCAGGGAGGAACATCAGTAATTCCAGGTTCTCTGTGTCCCTGGGGATTGCAGGGGCAGGGGAACTGTTACGACATCTGTGAGCCCCAACCAACAGCAAGAGGGTCTTGCTGGGTCTTCAGCACCCTACAGACCTTTTCCCTTTCTCCTGGGGTTATCTGGGGGGTGATTTGCATATTTGGTGTGCCCTCAGTCTGTGAAGAACAGCCACAACAACTTCCCTGGATCCTGCTACCTCAAAATTCCATTTTTCCTTGCTAGTAGAACAGAAGTTATTCAATTCAGGAACATTTCTGCAAGAAACTCTGGCCATGGTTTACTCTGAAGAGGAGAGTTGCCATCACCAAAAGCCCAGACCAGTGTTCAGCTGCTGTTCCCCATCACCACAACCAGCCCCAGAGCCCCTCACTGAACAGCAGTGCTGACACTGAGGGCTGGTGCCAGTGCTGTGTCTGCTGCCTGGGAGTGTTTTCAAATAAAATAAGAGAAAATAAATCGAAAAATAGTAGAAAAAAATTAGAAATAAATAGAATGAAGAGAAAAAGAAAGAAAGAAAGAACCACAACCACAAAGTGCCAGAGCACCGTGCACAAAGCCAAGGAGCCACAGTATTGATTCTGTGAGCTTTATAAAGGAATTAAGAGGCAAGCAGTGCAAGCAGAAAGGGAGGAATTTGGGAGAGCTGCTGTGAGGGGGGGTTTCATTTCCTGCTCAGGGCACTGGCAGTGCAGAGTTTCCCTGCCCAGGGTACCCTTGACTCCAAGTCCTGCCTATGGAGGCTTCTTGTGCCTCAGGCACTGAGTGGGGAATGGTGTGGGAGCTGAGATTGGGACACAGGCACTGAACACCAGCCAGGGAAAGGGATGAGGGATAAATCTGCTGTTCAAAATGCAGCTTCCTGTGCTCAGAATCACAGAATATCTGAGCTGGGAGGGACCCCCAAGGATCCTGGAGTCCAACCCTCAGCCCTGCACAGGCCCAGCCCCAAGAGTCACCCCCTGTGCCCCAGAGGATCAGCCAAACCCTCCCTGAGCTCTGGCAGCCTTGGGGCTGTGCCCACTGCCCTGGGGAGCCTGGGCAGTGCCCAACCAGCCTCTGGGGGAAGAACCTTTGGCTGAGATCCAACCTGAGCCTGCCCTGACACAGCTCCAGCCATTCCCTGGTTGCTGTCCCTGGTCCCCCCAGAGCAGAGCTCAGTCCCTGCCCCTCCTCTGCCCCTGCCCAGGAAGGTGGAACTGCACTGAGGTCTCCCCTCAG